GTGAGAACAAAAGGCATTAAATGACAGGAATGRGGGCAACCCCGCCACTGCTATAACAACTTCTCGCTCCTAAGTCCCTGAAAACAGCGCACGGATCAGGGTCTTGGACTCAGGCCAAGGGCCTAGCCACCCAAAACGGACTTCTATTTTATCCTTAGGATGGGGCTTTATAGGCTTCCCCAACCTCCATCAAAACAGCACACCGAGCTGCATTTGTAAGTGTTCCCCACGGGATAATTTAGGAGCTGAATGAACAGTTCCACTCCCACTAGAAGATACTGAATGGGAGGGTCAAGGACCAGGCAAAGCAATGACATCATTGGTGTCTTTTACTGAAGAGGGGTGAAAAACAAAGAGAATGACACCCGCTGAAGCCATACTGTCCCACTACTAGATGTACCCCAGTGCATTCCAGACCATAACGAGATCTCGTCGACTAAGGAAGCCAGAGCGCGGSGGGCCTGATGCCAGGGCAGGGCAGGCTCTGCTGGGGAGGCTGCAGGCTCCGCAGCCGTGGGTGCTCTGAGTGTGCAGGCTGTCCTGCTCCCTCTGCACCCACTCCTTGGGAATGACCAAAGCCCATGGGCTGAGGCTGAAAAAAGCAGCCAAGAATATAGTACTTTCAGGTAGAAATCCAGATGTTTCCCTTGAAACTGAAACTTACTCGTCATTTATTCCCAGCTCCTGGAGAGCGCCCTGGCTAGTCAGTGGCTCAGGCTCAGCTCAGGCCACACCCTGGCATCGCTGCTCTCTAATTCCCAGTCCTCGGCCCCAGGACCACGCTGGATTTCCCACTGCCAGGTGTTTCCTTCGCAGCCTCCTCTCTCTTCCAAGATGAGCAGCAATCGTGGGCACTGCGAACGCCACGTTACCCCAGCAAGCAGTGGGGTCAGCTGGCACGACACCTAAGCTTTCATTAGCAATCCTGCAAGAAAACCCTGGGATTAATGCTCAGGAGAGCATTAACATCAGAGCCTGCCTAAAGCACAACTCATTTCCCAGTGGATGAGAGAACAGCTTCATTAGCAAGCATTTGCTACTAATAAAAAATGTACCACTTGCAAGAGAACATCTGAGGTTGCCAAGCTGGGAACAACATGTACAGCTCTAAAGTCCTACGGGATTGCTGCCGAGTTATCCAAAGGATGACATAGAAGGGTTTGATCCTAGACAAGTTTCTTAACTGAGAATTCTGTCATCCACAGCCCCCGCTCAAGCCTTCACTCACCATGGAAAACAAGAGGGTTTTATAGCAAGAGAAGGATATTTCAGGGTATTCGTATTTCACTAATGTACACAAGTATCCAAAGGACACAAACACAGGCTTTATAGGATTTTAGCAGGAAAGAACTGCATAACTGATGCTGTGTCACTGTTCCCATCACAGGCCTGCTTACCATTTCCCTTTGCTACTGAAACCTCAACTGCCAGGCTCAGGGTGATGGGCACTGCCGTCTCAGCCAGGCCCAAGGCTGCTCCCCTCCACGTGGAAATACAGGACAGCGAGATCTGCTGGACCAGCTCCTCCCTGCACCAGCGAGCTGCACGTGCCCTTCATGGCAAAGCCCCTGTCTCGAGGAATACAGGATCAGATCCCAAAGGTGACTTGTTTGGAGGAAATCCTGGCCTCACTGAGAGAACAGAAAAAAATAATCCTAGGCTTTATCCACTCAACAGCTACGGGAAACATTCAGTCATGGAATTAGGAATGAGATTAACTGCAAAACAGACATAATGCATGCTGAAACAGCAGAGGGAAGTTAAAGCTCCAGCTCTAATATCCACTGCAGGCAATGATAATTTCTGCTGTTAATTTGTCTTTCTCTTTTTCACAGTTTCAYGTAGCATCACTTTTCAGCTGCAGCTCAAACAGATATTCTGTACCTGCTAGAGCCTGAAGAGGATTTCATGGTCAAAATGTCACTTCTGATTTAATATTGGCTTATAATATGTGTTCTATAATCCCAAACTTTAGGCAGTCATTTGATAGTTCACTTGCAGCATTTACATTACCATAGATGGCACTAAACTCACAATCCATTGCGTTCTGTCACACTTGAGCACCAGATAATTATTCTTCTGCCCTTTAAGAATTGCACAGATGCATGAATTGCAATATAAAGAACGATGAAAAACTACCATATTTCAAACAAGATGGTTAATAGAAAAAAAGGCTACTTCACACATAAAATATTAGCATAGTATGACACAGTTCACTTATTGCCTAACAAGACACGCTACAAAACTGCCAAATGAAAGCTACTGAACTACCATGGGTACTCCAAGTAGCTTAATCACCTTGCTCGTAGGATGAGATTTCTACAGCAGACATGAAAACCATCATCAACAAAGAGGTCTGAATAACAAAACATCAAAACATCAAAACATCAAACAGATAAGTAGCATTCTGGGCTGTCACAAGCAGATGACTTAGTAGAAGCTCTAGGGACGGCTTCGCAATACAAGCCAGTGATGGGTAATGAGAGGAGTAGCTGGCAGGTTGTGCAGCACTGTTGTAGCTCCATCGGTCTGGTAGAATCCAGGGAGAAATTTCTGAGGGTATCACTACCTCAAAAATCCTACTGCAATTTTTATTCTACAAGATTGTTTATTACAGACCAATATGTTTTTCTCCAGAGGTAAGCGAACAAATATAAAAAACACTCAGGTTAAAAAAACTGAGGTTAAAAAAGCAAAAATTCACAAGTTAGACGAATCTAGTGATAAATACTACCAATACTGTCACTTCTGGGACAGATGCTCTATTCTTTTATTTGTTTTCAAGACATCTCTGCAAAGATTTGGCATTCCATATTTTGGAGAATCAGCTCCTGGTTCCCGAAGGTTAGAATGGCTTTTGATCCAATACAACAAGCAAGGAATATGCTCCTGAAAGCCTTATATTTTGCTCCATTTTTCACGTGAATGCTTGCTATAACCTCTCAGTTTCCAGTGAAGAGTGAGATTGGGCATGTGCCTCAGAACCACAGTTCCAAGGGCTTCTCTAGTGTTCCTAACCTCAACTCGTAGTGTGYATGTGCAGTAAGCAATAAATGCATGACACTACAGAAACCTAAGTTTAGCATGCACTGCTAAACCTCTGATGCAGAGGAATAAACTGAAATTTAATGAAAACTGATAGCTGATTTTTTTTTTAAATGCTATCCACTAATAAGCAAGGCTAGATTTCCTTCTTACTTATAATTTCCTGTTCAAAATGTATCTGTATTTCACTGTACTTTTATTAATGACTGTATTTACTTGACAGCAAGTTACCAACATCTTTTAATCAGCTTTTCCAAAAAATAATTTTGGCTACATTAGCTGAATTGAGGTATTGCAACATGATTAGCTGAGCTGTGCAAAAGGCTTTAATCATGTGGGAGAGTTCTCAGATTAGCACTGGCTCAAGTTCAAATTGCAGCTCTGAGCGAGCAGCATTGCATTTGAATTTTGCTCGTGTTTATAAACACTGCACACAAGTGTGTGTAGGGCTGTGTGGATTTCTGCAAATGTTATCAGGCTGCTGCTCACAGTGTGTTTCTACTTGGAGTCTGAATATTTGAGAGCATATTTCATAGGGGAGGGCATGTGGCACTTGTCCTCGTAGCCTAAATCAATCTTACAGCACTGGGGAACATCAGACCTCTGCGAACAAAGCCATTTGCAGTGCATTTCCCAGAGCTGAACGCAGGAGAGCTGCAGCTCGAGGCTACGCCGAGAGCTTTGTGCAGTGACTTTCAAGATAGGAGTAACTTCCATGGCTTGTCCAGCTGAAGGGGCACCTTAAAGCGAGGCCAAGGGAGCACCCCGATGTTCCAAGAGCTCCAAGCTCGCTGGGGTTCGCAGGTGCTGCCCAGGCCCTGCACCCGGCCAGGCTGTGTCCTCTCCCATTCAGCTCATGTCCAGCAGGGGAGATCCTGAGCACATTGGAAACACTGGCTTTATCCTAGCAGGGGACTGACAACATTTTAAATCTTGGATTGTTACCACATAAGAAAAAAAAAAAATCTCTGCCCAGCTTGCAAACACTTAAGGATGTGTTTAATTAATAAATGCCAGTAGCTTACTGAAGCTAAAGGGGTGTATAAGATATGCAGGATAGGTTCCAAAGCCCTCTGGATCCATGTAATGCTGATTTCAGAGTTGTATTATTGCTGTTGTAGCAGTTCTGCATGGCTCAACAGTCCCCTGATTCTGACCAGTACCCTTAAGCACAAACAGCAGTGCTCCTCTTTAAATTATGCCTTACAATCATAGCAAGAGGGGATTTAAGATAGCTCATTTATTAAACAGAGCAATCTCTACTCCTTCCTATTCTCTGTAAAGGAAACACAGTTAGTTTCCTGCACAGATTAATAATCATAGCCTATTGTAGGGGGAGGGCAGTCTGCAGCACAAAAGAGCAAAGCCTGTATTTTTTTTTTTTTTATATGCTTGTGAAAGAACGAGTATAATCTGAGAATTTGCAGTCCTGGACCCTAGTCCCTGCTGCCAGAGTTATTTCCTGTTTTTATCCCTGAAGTCTATACTGTAATATCAGATACAGGCCATCTTTGCAGCACGGATCGGATCTTGAGATCTACCTTCATCTTCGTGCTGAATCTTCTACTTTTCATCCAGCATTTCAAAAGCCATCACATCTCCTGTTCACTCAAGGCATCATCTGAAGCGAACACCTCCTGCCACTCTGACCCGTTGTCTCCTCCAGCCTCTCCTTTCACCAGATTATTACCTTTTCAGACATTAAAGCTTTTAGTAGTAACCTGTATAATCCATTTTAAAACTTACTATAGGTAGCTAAAATCAAATGAACATCACTATTCTTTTGCCCAGTATTTTTTTTTTTATGGTTTTTGCATACAGGATCCCTGAGACACAATGATTTCCTCATTCATCGATCTATACCTATTTTAAGATTCCAGTACCCTTGAGCAGAAATAAAAGCCAGTATTTATTGTTTAGATTTTCTTACAGACTTATTTTCATATACAGTTTACCTTGAGAGCTTTTTGTGCAGCTTCACTTGATCCGATAGCAATCAGGTTTGGTCCAGCCATGCTGCAAAAACTCTTCAGATGCAAAGAATCATGAACAGGGACTGTGGAGACAGCGTAATCCTGTACGGGAGCAAAAAACGGATGCTATAAATATTTTTAAATTGCCCTAATTCCATAATTATATTGAGACATTTCATAATTAGTTTTACTCTCTGCAAATTAACAATAGCAACATATCCCAGGGCACAGTGTCAACTGTTTAAGTATGACATACCCCTCTGGACCAGCTTGTCTTGTCTTGTGCACTGGAGTAAAATCCAGAACATGTTTCAAATATTACTATTGTTGCAACTGTAAAGAAATACATTAAAATGTGTAATTAAACACTATGTACATTAAATCTCTCCAGGGACCAGCAAAAAGAACACGTTGCTATATATTATTAAGCTTCTCAGATCTAAAACATGAATGCTGATATGCTTGCAGATGACCAAAGCCTCCCACTGTCCAAGCTACTCTCATGCAAGAACCTCACATTTCTGATCCAAATTTAGCCTATGTCACTCAAAGGAGGTTCAGACAATTTCAGTAAGTTGGGCTATTTTTCTATTAAATAAGTCCTAAATAAATCACTTAAGACTTCAAGTTATTGTTACCAAACATCTCGGTCAGTATAATTCTTAAATTGGTTCAGTGGATCATAGCCTGCATTTCCTGTGACATGAATGAATCTACAAACCTTAAATGTGTCGGCCAAGATTTCTGCTCCACGTTGATTTGTCCGCTTAGACAGACCCACAAAAAATTCTCTGCCTGGAATGAAAAAACGACAATGGAGAGCAAAACAATTATTGCTTTTTTTTTTTTAAAAAAAAAAAAAGAAAGAAAAAAAAAATCACATCATCAGCACCTTCACCAGAAAATACACACTTTAAAAACAGAACAGCTTTACAGATATTTTGAAACAGTTATTTATGGATGTAATATTCTTTCTTTGCTCAAGTTGAGTAATAAGACTGAAAATTCATCTTAAAATTATGCAACTTATAATTGTGAGCTGGTAATTTAAACTGATTATCTTTTTCCAGAAGAAGGATTTTGTTAGAAACATACGTAGCTTCCCTGTCTAAAGCTCTTCAACGGACACTGAGTAAGGGCAGCGAGCAGCTGGGCTACATCAGCAGGGAACTGACTGACCATTTCCCCCTCCCTCAGCGGCCTCCTCTGCTCTCGAAGGCAGCGATGCAGATGTGGCCTCCTCGAGCTGCAGTGCTGGACCTGCACCATGCTAGAAAAGCCTTCTTCAGTTTGCCTCTTTTGAGACCCTTGTCTCCCCTTTGTGAATTTAGGCAAGCAGTGGGTCTACTTTGATGCTGATCAGAATAAACAGGCTCATTCACCACAGACAGGGAGCAATATATGCACCAATGTGAAAAAGTGCCCAGTGGGTTTAATGACATAAATAACATGGCCAGTATCTTCACCTTTGAAGTCAGCCACGCATGTAAGTTGTCTAACACACGACATCTGGCAGGCAACTCCACCACTTTTGCCATAAACTAAAATTGCCTTTTTTTTTTTGTATGCAATTCATTGAACCAGCAGCAATTGTCTGGATTAAGCATTTAGAATTCCTGAATATGAGTCTGTGTGAATGTAGCTGCTGGTAATAGGAAATACGAAACAACTGCAGTCAGCTGACTGCTTATTGGCACTTTCCAAGCTAAAATAAAATTTGTATGCACAGTACTGTTCTCTGTACTGTGTTGCTAGTTCATTTACTCAGACATTAGTCAGGATATTGAGTGTTGCAATGAAAATTCATCTGTCTGCTCCGACCTGACGTTCAGTAAACAACTGATTTAAGAGACTACACAAATGACAGTTTATTGGGCATCAGCAGATAACAGGCATTTTCTAGGACATCAAAATACATAAACAGCAAATTCACTACAACTGTACCTGTAAATAAGACGTCTCCACCATCCAAGGTTGCATTTTCATCTACCATCTCTACTATATTGAGGTTAAGGCTTTCTAATACTTTCTTCATGGCTTCAACCTGTTTAAAAGAAAGTTGTTGAGACTATTAGTTAATCTGCACCTTTGCAAATCTTACAAAAAAGCCTATATGAAATGGCTTATCTTCAATAAAAATGTCAGTCAATAGACTTCAGCGAAATGGATGGCAGGGTCCTTTGTGACCCTGCACATTGCAGTGCCCAGACTCTCTCCTGAGTCCCCTGCATGTGGCAGGCAGAYGGGGCCGTCCCAATCCCTTTCCTGATAAAAGGTTTAAAACAGAGTCATAGCAGAGCCAGGGAATTCTACTTTGTTATGTCCCTTCTCTCTCGGTAAGAGGCTGCTAAGGACGTTAAGGGCAGAAGCTGTCTCCACCGAGAATCATGTCGTCTGTCACCCTTGCCATCTTGGTGCCTTGTTATCCACAAGGGGTGTCTGCATGCGACAAATCACTCACAGAAAGCTAATGACTGCAACTCACAGGGTGTCAAAATAAATATGACCTCTTCCACCAGAACACGAGACCTCTGATCACACACAGGGGCAGCTTTGTGCTCACTGAAGCCTCACTGCTGTGTTAAACCAGAGCTACCTCACAWGTATTTATAAAAGCAGGAGCTGCACAAAGGTCTGCTAGCTCTAAGGTCTGTTAGCTCTARTCTTTGCAAACCCCACAGGCCATTTATCTGTTTCACATGGTCCTTGGAGCATTTCGACCAGAACCCCAGGAAGCTGATTCGGGTGACAGGAGCCTGTCTCCTAGCACATGACAAGCGCGGTGACTCTACCAGGCCCTCTCCCAAGCTATGCCAGGCCGTGGGACGCGACGGGGACACAGCCCTTGCAGAGAGAGCTCCTGCAGGAGCTGCAGCAGTCTCGGGCACTAGCAGCACACACTTTCACTGCCGTGGCTATCCAGAGCTGGATGAAGCAGCGGGGCAGACACCATCCAACCATGCACACGTTCCCCGGTCATTTCCACAACGGGGCTCTCTGGAATTTGGGCTGTCCCACATACATTTCTGGAGCCCTGAGGATGGCAGGGACAGCTGATGGGGAAAGAAGAGATACACTAGACACATCATCATCTAGGACACAGTTTGCTCTCTGGAGGTGCTTCTTTCTCTCTGTTCCCTTCTCACACTCCACTGAATTTATGGACAAGCCTAGACCAACCACATGGCCAAGCAGGTGCCTCAGGTCAAAGTTTAATGGGGAGAAGGCAGGTGCCACCCAGACAGCACTGATGGTTACACTGCAACAGGGAACTGGACTCGGCAGCTATCTAAGACCAAGGGGCGATATTCTCCACGTAGGAAATCCCCCGACATCCTCTCCTGTTCCCACTCAAGGGCCTGAACACTCAGATCTGAGTGGGGCGGCAGCGCCCTCACTACAATTACTAACATTTCTCTTTGATCCTTTGTTTTTCTCTTGGTGCTAAAATGATTTCAGGCTGAAACTTCAGTCTTGAGGGTCTCCAGGCTGAGGCACTGTTTATATTTCCATTCAGCTGTGCTTAAGCTTTACTAGTAAGGCTTAATCTTTCTTGCTGCTCTTGTTGCCCTATCTCCGGTGATCTTTAAAATCAAGTTTAAAAGSAAAACTGGATCCATGTGGTATTTTAAAAATAAATGGGAAACAGCTGGCCTAATATTTGAAAGCTATCCTGTACAAGCACAGCACCATTCCACAACATCCGTGCACTCTCTGGCACAGGAGGGGCTTTTTTGGCCTGTGAAGTCCAAATCTTTACTGGCACCACATGTCTTAGAGCCATAAGACCCCAAAGAACAGAAAATTGTTTTAAACGGAGTAATATCATTGTGGTGTTATGCAAGGCGGCTCCCCATCCAAGAGCACATAGACTTGCTATTTGTGCCAGAGTGAAGCAGACCAGCAAACTCCTGGCTGGGCACAAGGAGGCCCTGGCACTAGAACACGCATGCTCCAGCCACAGGCATGTGAGTAAATAAATATACCCATCAGCTGGGATTATTTAAGGCAGACTGACAAAGCACAGGAAAAAGAATCACCCGGCCTGTTCTGTGCTCACACAACTCTAGTTAATCCACTGTTCCCCACAGCTTCCAACCCAGAATGCTAGAGAGGAAGCTCTGTGAGAGCCGCTTTGCTGAATGGCAGGAGCCCTTCTGGCTGGCGGGGAGGCCAGGAGCGGGTGACTGTGGCTCCCCTGCAGAGTCCCCTGTCCCACCCCAGCAGGGCCGCCCGYGTCCCCAGGCAGGTGCACAGCCTGTTCTGGGGAAAGGAGGCGCCGTATTTCGGACAGACGGAAAGCTAAACAGGGCCAAAGCTGAAGGCGGATCTGCCTGGGAGAAGTCATGCCCAGGAGCAGAGCATGGAACGGGTCACCAAGACGCACACAGGCTCCCTCCAGGCAGCAGGAAACCTCAGGTGAAAACRTCTGAGCTCCGCAACGATGAAAAATCCTTACGCCTTCCTCCAGAGCAACTCGAACACAGTCAGTGAACACGGTCACAGCAGCAGTGCCTCAGTGGACGGGCAAGAGCATGCGGGTGAGAGGCCTGCAGGACACACTTACACCATGCAATAAATTCACACGGTGGCCCCAAGCAGGGCACTTGGGGCTGGGGATAAAGACACCGTGAAACCTCCCAGGGAGAGGCAGAGGAGCAGCAATACCTCAAATCCCAGCGCCTATTAATGACTTTTGCACTAGAGTAGCAATAACATAAAGCTCCTAGCTACTGAGAATACTGGAAGGTAAAGATTGACTTTGGATTTGCTATTTCAGCCAGATGTACGTTTTAATTAGCAGATGCTGATTACAATTTAACCAACAGACTATGTCAGAGATGCTGTGAATTGTTTTCCTTACTTAATTTACAGAGGTTGATGCAGCTGTACTGCACACATTAAGAAAACTTACTCGAACTAAAAATTGTCCAAAATCACAGAGAACTAGCCTGCTTAATCTGCCTCATGATGGTTCCCGKCTTGGAGGATATTTATAAGATGCTCAAGATGTTTTTCCCTCAACAGTTGAGTGCATTTTAGCTATGAAAACAAAATGAAATAAGTTAGAACTGCCATATAAATAGCAGGATCTTTTCTCTCTCAAGGTTGTTAATGGATTCAAGTCTATGGCTCAATGTTTTGCAGGATTTTTAAGCAACCAGTAGGAAGTCCCAAAGTTTTAATTGGAAAGCACAGTTCACACCTCTGGTGACATATGCTAGGAATATCTTTCAACATCCGTTGCTTGGGTAATATTAAAAGCCTTCCTGAGTTACTGTTTTTACCAAGGGCAACAGCAGAAAGCTCATTCAGTAAAGAAATGAGAATTGGAGCACAGACTGCAAAAGAGCAGGATGATGTGACATTATTAAAAAGAAGTTTCGGAAAGCAGGAATTGTAAATATAGGAATCTAGAAAAAAATAAGCCAAAAACGAGCAACCCATCTGCTCTTGCACACAGCAGAGTTCCCTGCACAGTACCTAGCTGAGACACCCATTACCACGGCTACAGCATCTTCAAAGTGACATTAATCACGAGTAGGTCCTCCAAAGTAGCATGGCCAAAGTGTATTGATGCCAGAGGTACGTGACCATCTTGAAAAATACACTGCACCATTCAGAGATGGGATTAAGAAATGGTAAATTCTGCACTGTTCACCTGAGCCTTTACCTTGTTACTGCAAAAGGGAAGCGAGAGGGTGGCTCCAACCTCAGCCCTTGGAAGCTTTTCTGCAAGCACTCCCGAATGACCAAGGATGGGGAGCAGCTTCCCAAGGGAGAACGCTAGCAGCAATGGCTAACAAGGAACAGGTGACTGTAATCCTCAACTAAGAAGTTAAAAGCAGGAATACAGTGAGTGAACTTAATTTTAAAATTATGAATAGTGCACTTCACGTTAGTGCATAGTAGTAAGATTTACTAATGAATGAAAGATACAGACTTYGCTCTGATTTATGAATAAATCACCACCTGTTTTCATTTTGTTTTTCTTCCAGGAGATAACTGAAAAAAAAGCTGGATGAATAAAATGCTGCAGGTAGCCAAGCTTACCTAGAAGGCAAATAGTAAAATATACAGAAAAATACATAAAATATTTGGAGATGAACCCAGTAGAAGCATACTCACTACACAACTGTTTATTTTTTTCATGGCACTCAAGAGAAGTCCCATTCCCTTATTTTCTGTCCTATATTTGAAGGCTGTAGCCCAGGTAGTCAGACCTGCGGCATACAAAGAAAACACTCATCTGTATCATTCAAGATTTCTGTATCATATCACTCAAGGTCAGCTTTCAGTTTGTAACATGATACTGGGTTTTATTGTAAAAGCACCCATTAGTAGTACATCAGTTGAGTGTTAAAGCTTGTGTSCTTTGTGTAGTATTTTTTTTTTCTAATAAGCACATTCCTGGTGTGAGCTGGAATGTATCTAAACCATCACAAAGCTGATTGAGAGACAATGGACTTGAGCCAGCTCAGTTCTGTTTCAAGGAAAGAGGACAATAACTGGCATGACATTTGTAAGAATCTAATTTCCTTGCATTTTAAAAATGGAGCTCGTTACCCTCCAGACTGATGCGTTTCATCAATTACTGTAACTGATGTGCAGTGATTTTTCCTTCTCTATATTAGTATTTGATGGACTCAAAACAGAGGCTGCTTCCTTAATTATTTGCTGGCATTCTGTGCACTAACCATATCAGGAGATTTTTGTTGAGACAGGGGGAAGAAAATTATCTTTTCAAAAGACAGCAAAAACAGTGAARCCACTTTGAGCAATGGGCCTGAGCGTTGCACTGAAAGTTCTGCTGGTAACTCTGGATCCAGCCTTAGAGGAGAGGCTTTTCCTCGGGGATGCTAATGCTGGGGCCAGTGACTGGGCTGGAAGTGATGCCCCTGCGAGGGCCAGGAGGGCCACCCTGGAGTGGGGACTCAGCTGGAGCTCAGCAGAAGTTATGGATGCTGCCAAGCCAAGTGCTTCCTAATGACTGCAATTAGCGTCTCGGGGCTCCTGGTGAAAGGGGGCAACTGTCTGCAGACT